TTCAATGGTTTAAGCATATTTACATCATTCTGCAGCTATCACCATAATCTAACTTTTGAACAATTTTATCATTTTCAAAAGGAACTTAGTATGCATTAGCAGTCATTGATTTCCACCCAAACCTCCCAGCTCCCACCCACCCCTTAGCAACCACTAATCTACTTTATAACTCTATAGATTTGCCTGTTCAGGAAGCCTAGTAGGTGAAGGAAAAAAAAATCACTTAATGTCATTTGTTTTTAAAATTTATTTCTGTTACACAGTTAATACATGCTAAACACTAGGAGATAGAAGATGAAAGACCCAGTCCTTGTCTCAAGAATTTGATAGCACAGAAGAGATTCCAAGGCTATAGGCATTTACAACATAGGAAGATTAGAGGTAGTAGAAAGTGTCTCTAGGAACAGAAACTGGGAAAACTTAAATGAGATGCAGATGACAAGTGAAACCTTCCTAGCAGTTCATTTCTCAAACTTAGTTGTTTTTTACTGTTTGGTTTTTGGGGCTTTTTGTTTTGTTTTGTAGTTTTTGTTTTGAGACAGTCTTGCTCTGTTGCCCAGGCTGGAGTGCAGTGGCGTCATCCTGGCTCACTGCAGCTTCAACCTGGGGTCAAGCCATCCTCCTGCCTCAGCCTTCTAAGTAGTTGGGACTACAGGTGCATACCATCATGCCTGGCTGATTTAAAATTTTTTTTTATAAAGACAGAGTCTCACTATGTTGCCCAGTCTGGTCTCAAACTCCTGGGCTCAAACCATCCTCCTGCTTTGACCTCCCCAAATGCTGGTAGTACAGGTGTTAGCCACTGCACCCAGCCTCAAACTTTGTTTTGAAAAATGAGTAGGAGCTAGCCAACTGAAGATCGTAAAAATGAATATTCAGTTTAGAGACAGGTGTATGTCCAATTGGAGAAGGATGAAAATGACGTGTTTCATTTGGGCAGTTGTAAATACTGTAACTAGAAATATTGCAACCAGAGCATGAAATATTAGAATAGAAAGTATTCAGAATTGACCCACTTTGACAAAGGCTAGATAATAACCTGTGTAATCCTACTGAGAGATATGAATTTTTTTTTTCTTTTTCTTTTTTTGCAATGGAGTTTTGCTCTTGTTGCCCAAGCTGGAGTGCAATGGCAAGCTCATGCCTGTAATCCCAGCGCTTTGGGAGACTGAGGTGGGTGGATCACCTGAGGTCAGGAGTTCGAGACCAGCCTGGCTAACATGGTAAAACCCCGTTTCTACTACAAATACAAAAAATCAACTGAGTGTGGTGGTATGCGCCTGTAATCCCAGCTACTTGGGAGGCTAATGGAGGAGAATCGCTCAAGTTCGGGAGGCAGAGGTTGCAGTGAGCTGAATATCATGAATTTTATCATGAAAGCTACTGAATAATTTAAGAAAAATGAACATATTAATATTTGGTAAAGGTTATTCTGACAGCAGATTGAGGATGAATAGGAATCAAGAAATACAGTTATAAGATTGTTACAAGAGCAACTTAACAATGTTTCATTGACACTATACTTGCGAGTATGTATAGATATACTTCTCTCTTTACAATGACTATACAGTATTCCACTGTATGGATGTGATATCTTAATCCAGTATTTCATTAAAGAACACTTGAATTGTTTCCAGTTTTTTACTTTCACAAAAAAATGCTACAGTGAACATCTTTGGCAACTTGGATAGTTTTTTTTTTTTTTTTAATAAAAAACATTCCTAAAGTGGAGTTGCTGAGACAAAGTTATATGTATATTTAAATGGTGATAGTGTTGTGGGAATGCAGACCTTGAGCATGAGACATCCAGGTTCTTGGTGTGTTGAACAAACAGTTGAACAAAACGCACAAAGTAACAAAGGAATGAAACAGCAAAAATGGGGATATATTGAAGTGGAAAACACTCCACAGGGTGGGATTGGGCCTGAATCAGTGGTTCAGGGGCCCTGCTTACAAGGTTTTCTGGGATTTATGTACCTCTTTTGAGATCCCTATTGGCTACCCACTATGTGGATGAAGAATTTGGCCTGTGGCCAATTAAAAGCTGAGGTCTGTTGGCCTATGGCCAACCAGGGGCCAGCGTGGACTGGTGCCCTATGCAGACAAAGGGATAACCCGTGCTTGGCCTACGGCCAATCATTGGCACTTTCCCTTTCCACCTGAGCCTCAGTGGAATGGGGAGGCTTTTAGCCTCTGATTCTTTATTACTAGGGGGTGGAGAGATGGGGATTTCTTTTTGTTAGAAATAAATGTTGGATTTTGTAAAATACTCATTCTGCATTTATTGAGATAATCATTTTTTTCATTTTTAGTTTGTTAATATGGTACATTATATTGATTTATGTTTCAAATGTCAAACCAGCCTTGCATTCCCAGAATAACTGCCCTTAGTCATGATGTATTGTATATTTTTGGATTTGTTAAAATTTGTTCAGAACACTTTTATTTTCAGTGAAGATTATTGGTTTGTGGTTTTCTTTCCTTATAATGGCGCACTCTGCTTTTGGTAGAAGAGTAATTTGTGCTTCATAGGATGATTTGAGAAACGTCTTCTCCTTTTCAGTTTACTGATGAGTTTGTTTAGAATTGATGTTGTTTTTCATTAACTGTTTGGTAGAATTCACCAGTGAAGCCATCTGGCTTGTTGTTTTCTTTGTGGAAAATTTAATTTAATTTATAATTACTAATTGAGTTTTTTTTTTTAAATAAGTCTAGGGCTATTCGGTTTGTTTTTTAGTGAGCTGTGATAGTTTGTGTATTTTGAGAAATTTATCCATTTCATCTAAGTTATCTAATTTATTGGCATAAATTTGTTTATAATACTTCCTCATACTTCTAAAATCTGGATAATCTGTACTGAGGTTACTTCTCTTTTTCCTAATACTGGTAAGTTGTTTCTTCTCTCTTTTTTTTCTTAGTCTAGCTATAGGTTTGTAAATGTTATTGGTTTTTCTCATAATAAGGATCTGAACAAGAATAAGGAGTTAGCAAAATGAAGGTCTGAGGAAAGGGAAGAGCACTTTCACAGTTCCTGCAAAGGGGAGAACTTGGCATTTTCAAAGATAATTAACTGTTAAGTGACCAAGAATGGAAGCATGGAGAGCAGTTATGAGGGTATGGCAATAATATAAGTCAGAGTAAGATGATGTTAGTTTGGACCACTGCAGTGGCTAATGAGGTGATGAGAAGTGATCAGAAGCAGATTATGAAGGTAGGGTTAATAGGACCTGTTGATGACTTGTACTTGGAATGATAGAGAAGAGTCATGAATTATGCCTAGTCTTAAGCCTGAGCAATGTGGTTAATGGTGCCTTGATGAAATAGAGAAGACTGAGAGGAGCAGATTTGGGTTATTATAGGGGTAAGTGCAGTGGAGACGACACATCAAGAGTTTGGATTTAGACATAATGAAGAATTTGAATTCGAATGGTTAATTCAAATAATTTGTTGTTTTCGCATGTGTGTGTGTATGTGGGTTTTTTGTGTGTTTTTTGTTGTTGTTGTTGTTGTTGTTTTTGAGACAGGGTTTCACTCTGGTTGCCCAGGCTGGAGTGCAGTGGAATGATCTTGGCTCCCTGAAGTCGACCTCCCAGGCTCAGGTGACTCTCCCATCTCCGGAGTAGCTGGGATCATAAGTGTGCATGACAACACCCAGCTAATTTTTCTGTTGTTGTCGTATTCTAAGTAGAGACAGGGTTTTATCTGTTGCCCAGGCTGGTCTTGAACTCTTGGACTCAAGCAATCTACCCTCTTCAGCCTCCTGAGTACAAAGATTACAGGCATGAGCTACCACATGTGGCCAGTTGCATATATTTTTTTGTGTTTGCTTGGATTATCCAGGAAATTCAATCTTTACCTCGTGAAGATCGCCTGTCTAATGAAGCCTGTATGTAAGAGATATTCAAGATAGAGGAGGCAATGTTGTACAAACTGCCTTAGCATATAATTTCACATAAAATCTTCAAATTATAATATACCATGAAGTAGAAGACACAGATATATATGAATTGCTTTGTGCTAATAAGGACATTGGTGTGAAGTTATCAGATTCAGGGTATCCCTTATACTAACACCCTTACAGAGAAATAGTCTATTTGTAGGTAGTAAATGTAACATGAATAACCAATATAAACTTTCTTGGTAATATCAAAACATAGAACTCTGAAATTATTTTTCTTTTCCAAAGTTCTTTGTGTGTAAATCAAATATATTTCACCGACTCACGAAAATTGGGCCCAGAATGTCAGACCTCCTTTAAAACAGACCGTGATGTTAACGTTCAGCCCAAGTAGAGCAGATAAAATGGGGTCTCCTTGGAATAGGCCCAGAAGCTAACTAACTTTCAGTAGTAGAAGGATTCAATCTCTAATTTTGGGAAATGATAAACTACAGAGAAACCACTATCCTCTTCCAGAAAGTACTCTTAAGAGAGTATTAAACTGGTTAATCCATTGGACTTATCTCTTTTCTGATTATATATAGTAAGTCTCCAAGTTAGAATAAAATTCCTTCAGTCTCCAACTAAAGTAGAATCATAATATATTAAGGAAGAAAGTTTTTCAATTTACATTTTTGTTTCAGCAATCCTCTAAATAAAATGTAATAAGCATTTGTTTTAGCAAATCCTTTGAGGCCAGAGAACTTATTTGGGTTATTCATTACTATATTCCTAGCATAAGCATAGTGTGGGTACTCTGATAGTTTTCTAGATGAATACATATATTAGTGAAACTTCATAGTAGAAAGCATGGCTTATTTCATGATTGTTTTAATACATTTCACTAGAGGGTGCTGTGTAAGCATTCAGCACTTTAAAAGTGTTATCTCTTTCACTTGTACTTATTTGTAGGAAGATTGGATTTTTAAATCACCTGATTTAGCAAAAGTTTTCATTTATTTTTGTTTTCAAAGCAGTGCTTGTGGTATTGTGTATGGTTAAATTAATGAAAACGACGGATTAATGGCAGCATTAACACCTATTTTTTTTTCCTCCTCCTTAGGAGACTTATGACCCCAATCATGTATGCTGCTCGAGATGGTCACACCCAGGTTGTTGCTCTCCTTGTTGCTAGTGGAGCAGAAGTTAATACCCAGGATGAGAATGGTTACACTGTGAGAAACATTTTTACAATGTTTCTTTTTGTTTCTGAGACACTGATACCATGTTATTATTATCACTAATCTACAAAAAAAAGTTTTAAGAAGTAATAATTACAAAAGGGCTGGGATATAATTGCTATCTGTTGAAAAAAATCAACAGTTAAAACAGAAGGCCAGGCCTGCTGGCTTATGCCTATAATCCCTGCACTTTGGGAGGCTAAGGCAAGTGGATCACTTGAGTTCAGGAGCCCAAGACCAGCCTGGCCAACATGGTAAACCCCATCTCTACTAAAAATACAAAAAATTAGCCAGGCGTGATGGTGCGTGCCTGTAATCTCAGCTACTCAGGAGGCCGAGCCAAGAGAATCACTTGAAGCCGGGAGGCAGAGGTTACAGTGAACCAAGATCGCACCACTGCACTTCAGCCTGGGCAACAAGAACGCAACTCCGTCTCAAAAAACAAAAAGAAAAAAGAAATAGAAATAAGGAATTTAACTCTCTTAGTCCTTAATCTTGACACAAAAAAATATATAACTCAGCAAAATTTGGGCTCTGAAATACACATAAGAATTCTTTTTTGTAGAAAACCCTTCAGTGATTAGCAAATAAATCATTTTATTCCATAACATCAGTTAATTGTATAAAACACTGCCTTTAAAAAAATCAATGAGCTTTGCAGTCAGCTTTGCAATTACAGCTTTGGAAATGTGTTTACATTAAATTGTGAAATGAAGAGATTGCATCATTCCATTAATTATTCACTTTTTTATTGTGCCATAAATACTGTTGAAAACTTCTCCTATCTGTCTCATATACACTCTCTCTCTAAACAATCTTCCTTTCTCCCCAACTTACAGGCTTTAACGTGGGCAGCACGTCAGGGTCATAAAAGTATAGTTTTGAAGTTGCTTGAACTTGGAGCTAATAAAATGCTACAAACCAAAGATGGAAAGCTGCCCAGTGAGATTGCAAAAAGAAACAAACATCATGAGGTATCCTTCTGCATATATTAAACTTTTTTTTGTGGCATATCACATTATAATTTGTAGAACTTCTGTATTTTTTGTTAGAATTTACAAGTGTAATTATAGTGTATCTGGCAATTATTAAATTGTTTATATATGTGTATTTCCTCCAGCCAGGTAATGAAAACTATTTTTCTAGAGGATTCATCTTCTAAACAAGATGCACTTATAATACACTAATTTAAAAGCTCTATAAAAGAGTAATAAAATCTTATTCTGGCCCCAGGAATAAAATTGTAATAAACTATTTAAACCTTTTTAACTGGTCCAGAATTTTAAAAGTTATTTAGTGAAAGCTAATAAAATGCCAGAGTTTGAACATGTAACTAAACATTCTTTTGTAAGTTTAATTAATATATTAAGCAATTTAAAAATTTAATTGTTTAAGCAGCATTTACTCTTATATGTGTGACAGGGCATACAATAAAGTGATAATACAGCTGGATGTATAATCTGTCATGCAGATGTTAAACTCAATAATAAATACTTGTGATACATTAAGTTACTTTATCAATATGAACTTTTCGTCTGAAGATTAAAGCATTAGCCACAAGTCTGTAATGTCTAAGCAAGGACCAAATATAGTACAATTATAAAACTAAGTTACTTAGTTTAAGAGTTTGTAACACTGAATTCCTGAATTTGAAAACACATAAAATTCCAAAGATTCCATCATGTAATCATCAGACCAAGCCACTTTTACTGCATATAAAGTAACTTCCTCTAACCTTTTAAGCAACCTGATAAACATGCCTATCATTTTCCAAATGTTATTTTAATATTTTCAGAATTATTATAAGGTAAATGGTAATCACTAAAGCCCTGTAGAACTTGAAAAAGGAATTTACCATTTTTCTTCTCAGCTCTGAAAATTCAAAAACTTAAATTTATTTTATAACATTGTTAAATTTAGAGTATATGACACCAAACTTGAAATAAGTTTATAAACATCAAAGGTTATTTTGAGTCATAAATCATTTATTGAAATGAGATTTGATCTTGCATTTTGACTGATTACATGATATAATCTTGACTTCCTAATAAGTTAGATTTTAAAACTAAGAAATTCACCATATCTTTTTGGGGTATTCAGTTAGGATTTGTATACATTTAGTCATGCTCATTATTCTCTTTCCATTTAGCAATGTTTTTAAAGTACTACCTTAATATTTAATCTGAGTCTCTTATCCAAATGGAATTTTTAGTTTTGCTTTATAGCTTACCAAAAATATTACTCTCTTCCTTTAATCTTTACTATTTTTAATTAGATGTACTTTTTTTCTTTTCTGACTATTATTATACGTCAAGGAAGAATTTACTTGATATCCCACTTACCCTGATTTGTTACACATTGTATATATGTATCAAAATATATGTACCCCAAAAATATGTACAGCTGTCATATATCAATTTTTTTTAAAGTTGCTATCAGGGTAAATTGTGAAACTTCTGTCCCTCTTACTCGCTAAAATTTTCTTTCTGGATATGAGATAATCATATGGTTTCTTTTAAGTGTAAGTTATATTATACAGTGTTAATTATATTCGAATGGTGTTAACTTTTTTCAGATCTTCAACTTACTTTCTTTTACTTTAAATCCATTGGAAGGAAAACTTCAACAGCTAACTAAGGAAGAAACTATTTGTAAAATATTGACAACAGATTCTGATAGAGAAAATGACCACATTTTTAGGTAATATAACATATTTTAGTTCAACAGAATACCTATAAGAAAGTAAAAAATGTGTATATTTTGCTGTAGTAAATGTGGTGACTTACTTAAAATATCTGATATTTTAAATGTTTATGAGCATTTTTAAATGTCTGGGTTTTTAGTATTCTCCAGAATTTTAGAAAATGTTTATTCATTTTTATGTACTAACTCTAATAAAAACTTTAAATGTAAACTTTAAGTACATTAAAATATTAACAATAAAACTTATTTTTAAAAGGTTCTGAAATTATGTTAGTGTTCAAACAGTATTATGCCTTGTTTTCTAATTATTTTTAGTACGTTTCTAATTTTATAAGCTAAAATTAAAAATATACTTTTCCCCCTGGAACACTGCTGTTCAGTACATGGCCAAAAATAATTCTCCCCTTACCCCATTTCAAATTATTTACATTTTATTTATTGCAATAAAGAGGTGGTTTGTTTTTCGTTTTTTGCTTTTTGTGGGGTTGTTTGTTTTTGCCTCAAACACTTGGGCTCAAGCAATTCTTCCACCTCAGTCTCCCAAGTAGCTGGGATTATAGGTGCATGCCACTGTGCCAAGCTGAGGAGATTTTTATGTGCAGAAATTTCACAAGAAGTACATACTGGCATGTATTTTCATTTTGGGGAAAGATAAGCTACATTCCTCATATATATTCAGTCACAAAACTTCACTCATTCCTTTGATATAGCATAAGTCTGGTGTGCAGATTGCAAATATATTCTATGTTAATTCATTCTTATTCCTTCTTACTCATATTCTCTTGCAATATAAATATATATTTATTGCTTGTGCATTTATAGTCTATTCTGAAATTGACATTGCTATAAATGTATATAGTTCATATGCAGCATTTGGAGATCTGGAAGTATTTTTACATGGTCTTGGACTTGAACATATGACGGATTTATTAAAGGTAAGATCTTATGTAACTTACAGTGAGTTATGTATATATGTTTATTTGTTGGTTAATATAACATTAGATATTAATTCATAAACATGTCTATGAATAACTGCCAATTTACTTTCCTCCATAATTTTTAGTACATTCTGATTTTAAATTTGTAATAAACATTTCAAAAATGTATTATTCTAGAAATTTATATAAATTGGAATCTGAGATTAAACAGTTCTTACCCACTGTATAACTTCATATACACCTGAGCCCTTAGATACAAATCTGTATTTGTTCATCTTGAGTAGAATATAGGAAGAGCATGATTTTAAACCAAACACACCTGGTACCAGATTCTTGCTCTAATGTTTAATCATTGAAATATGTGATTTAAATATCTCATTTTCTTCATAAGGATAATAATACCTAGTATAGGGTTGTCATGAACGTTAAATCAGATCATATGCCAAGCACTATCTCGGTGCTTTAAGTATACATTCTGGGGTTTGAGTCCATGACAGTTATCACCAAAGTGGGGATACTGCAGTAAAGCACTATTTAAGATAGACTCCTCTTGGGAGTATGCACATGCTGTTAAAGTTTTTCAGAGTTGAGCTTCATTGCATAATCTTGAAATTTCTCCCTATGTTGAGAAATCATGAGTAAAAAATACATGATGGTTTAATGTGATACAGTCAGAAATTTAAAATACTAATAAAACATTTCTGTCAAATTTTATAGAACTGCTTTTCTTTTAATGTAAACAAATATGAATGGTAATCATTTTATTTGAATCTGGAAAACTAGCTATATTTATCCTTTTTAGGTGAGTATAGTTACTATGATACTTATTACTATCTACTCAATAGTATAGTTCTATATCTACATATCCTGTCCCCTCTAGAAAGTTGGGATTTGTTTGAGAATGAAGCATGTAACTAACTTATGAATACTTCACTACTTCCCCTTCTACTATTTTAATTATATTGAAAGGTGGCCTTTTTTTTTTCCTTTTATACAGGAAAGGGATATAACTTTAAGACAGCTTTTGACCATGAGGGAAGATGAATTTACAAAGGTCAGCATCAGTTTCAAAAATTCCCAATATATTTTTTGATGCTTTTTAAATTGTGGATCCTTTTCTCTGTTTAAAATGCTCTGTTTAAAATGATTAAGGATAACCATAACTAAAATTTTGTGTTAGTATGTTAGTATTAAGTTACTTTAAGAACATGTGAAGACCTACAGTTTGGGTTTTGTTTTGTTTTGGTTTAGATTGTTATGATGTCTGAGCTAAAACTGATCCTTTAGTTTCAAATGTGAAATAGATTTGTAATATAGAGCACTTAGAAATAAGAGATTGTCCTTTATGTATATGGATATTAACACATGTCTTCCAAGACTTTCGTTTGGTTCTCAAAACTGTTGAGACCTATTATTTTGCCATCTTGTATTATCTCATAACATATAGCCACAGGATGTATTAGAGATACTTTGATAAATAGGATATGTAAAAAGCAGTGATCTGGCTTCGTGATCCCATTGGAAACTTAAAATTTTTAATATCACTAAAAATCAATAAGCATACTACAAAGCTAAATCCAGTATAGAAAATTTAGTTTAACACTAAAGGTAGAATACAAAGATAGGGCTTAATTCTCATTTATCACTGATAATATTTTAAATAAAAATTTGAAGGAAAATTTGTTTTACTGTGTTTTTTTGAAATATTACATATTCAGTTCTAGTAATTTGTTGTGGAAGTCCAGCATAATTGTTATGTATTGCAAAAAATTGACTATAGTTATTATATATAATATCTAAATATTTTAATACTGTAACTAACATCAATCACAGCTATAAGAAAGCCGTATATTTTTTAGAAATGTGTTATTTTTCCAATATATGCCTATTTTTTCAAGACGTGAATTCATCAAGTAAGAAAACATCTGTAGTGATTTTGAGTTTTATATTATTCAAGTATAACTAACTTACTGTACCTTAAAATTATTTCTGCTCAGAATGGATTTACCAGTAAAGACCAGCAGAAAATTCTGGCTGCTCTTAAAGAACTAGAGGTAGAAGAGATACAGTTTGGAGAGTTGTCTGAAGAGGCAAAGCTAGAAATCAGGTAAAATTAACTTACTTGTTTATATTAACAGTGTTAAGAACCAACTGTTCTTTTTTAGTTTAATTTTCATAATGTCTGAGTCATTTTACTTGATACCATCATTTTCCCAGGGTAATAAATTTTGGAATATACCATGTTCTAAAATTGGATGTGCTTTGTAAAGTTAATTTTTATAAAGCCATTTACCAAGAAGCAAAACAATGTGTCTTCCTGTTAACTCACATAGAAATATTTTTGTTTTATTTTTTCATTACATCTTGCTAAATTGAACTTCAAAAACAATCCCATGCTTTTTATAGTATACATTTTACTCTAAAAAATCATTTTAGAAGTTAAATTGAAAATTCAAACTAGTAATATTTTCACTTAGGGCAATAAGAAAACGTATATCATGTAGCTCAGTTCTATTTTCAGCCTTACTATATGAGAAATTATGGTATCAATATGTAAGCTTCATTTCCAGTATTATAAACTTGTCAAGCAGTGGTTATTAATAATCCAAAATCTATTTTGAAAATAATGATATTTGATTTTATTAACATATTATAGAGCAATAAATGATTTTTTAAATTTTTGAAATATAGATTCTTGGGGTATTTCAAAGATTTACATAGTGAAGTCCCATACACTTTTTACCTAGCTTTGCCCAATATTAGTATCTTTTATAACTGAGGACAGAATCAAGTTAGAAAATTTACATTGATACAACCCACAGAGCTTATTTGTGAGCTATGCACTCATTTGTCTCTGTGTGTGTGTGTGTGTGTGTGTGTGTGTGTGTGTGTGTATACATAATTTTATCACATTTGTAGTCTCATGCAACTACTTCCATATTCAATGTACTTAACACAGGGCTCCCTCATACTACCCCTTTATAGCCACATCTATCCTTCTTCCCATGCCAACCCCTAGCAACCAATAATTTGTTCTCCATCTTTTTAATGATGTTATTTCATGAATATTGTAGAAATAGAATCATACAGTATATCTCCTTTTAAGGTTAACTTTTTTCAGTCATCCTAATTTTCTTGAGGATCATCAAAGTTGTTGCATGTATCAGTACAATAGTTAATGCCTTTTTATTGCTGAGTAGTATCCTGTGGTATGTGTATACCACAGTTTGTTTAACCATTTATCCATTGAAGAATATTTGAGTAGATTTTAGTTTTTAGCTATTCCAAATAAAACTATTATGAACATTCATCTACAAGATTCTGTTAGAAAATACATTTTCTTTCTCTGGGATAAATGCTGAAGAGCATTTTTAGAGCATATTTAGTATATTTTAAAACTGCCCAACTGTTTTCCAGAATGGCAAGACTATTTTATATTTCCAGCAACAGTGTATGAGTAATCCAGTTTGCTCTCCGTGCTCACCAGCATTTGGTGTTAGCATGATTATTTTTTAGCCATTTCTGATAGGTATACAGTAATAGCTTGTTGTGTTTTTATTTGCACTTACTAATAGCTAATGATGTCAGACAGCCTTTTGCTTATTTGTCTTTGTACTTTTTGTGTTGAAATGTCTAACAGTATCTTTTGCCCATTTTTTGTTGGATTAATGGTTTTTTAATGTTGAGTTTTGGGAATTATCTACATTCAAATCTTTTGTTGGATATGTGATTTGTAAATATATTTTTCCACTCTGTAATTTTTCTTTTCATCCTCTTAATGGGGTCTTTCACAGAGCAAAAACCTTTATTTTGATGAGATCTAAGTTACCAAATTTTCCCTTTACAGAATATTACTTTTGGTGTATTTTTAGTATCAAGTTAAAGAACAGTTTAAGAAATTAGGTCTCAAAGATTTTCTCCTATACTTTTTTCCTAGAAGTTTTATAGTTTTACATTTAAGTCCATGATACATTTTGAGTTCATTTTTGTAAAGGTACGTGGTTTAGGCTGAGGTTCATTTCTTTTTGCCTAGGGGTGGCTAATTGTTCTAGCACTATTTATTGAAAAGCCTGTTCTCCTCCACTGAATTGCTTTTGATTATTTGAAAAATTAATTGGGCATATTTGTGTGAGTATAATCTGGGTTCTCTATTTTGGGTTTTTTATGTGTCTATCCCTCTGCAAGTACCACATGTGTTGATCACTCTGTGTGGTAAGCCTAAATATCAAAAAGAATGATTCCTCTCATTTCGTTCTTTTTCCAAATCATCTTGGCTATTCTAGAGCCTTTTTCTTTCCATATACATTTTAGATAAAGCTTTGTTATGTCTATAAAAAACCTTTCTGAGATTTTGGTAGTAATTGCATGAATCCTATTGATTCATTTAGGCATAACTAACATTTAGCTATGTTAATTCTCTAATTTATAAACACAGATATCTCTAAAAGTTTTAGGTTTTCTTTTTTTAACTATATTTTTCGAGACCAGGTTTCACCCTGTCACCCAGGTTGGAGAGCAATGGCATAATGATGGCTCACTGCAACCTCGAATTCCTGGGCTCAGGTGATCCTCCCACCTCAGCCTCCTGAGTAAGTGAGACCACTGGCATGCCCCACCATGCCTGGCTAATTTTTAAAAATTTTTGTAGAGACAGGGTGTCATTTTGTTGCCGCAGTTGGTCTCAAATGCCTAGGTTCAAGTGATCCTCCCCGTTGGCCTCCCAAAGTACTGGGATTACAAACATGTGCCACCATTTCTGACCTTCTTTTGTTTTCTTTTATCAGCATTTTGTCATTTTCATCACACAGATCTCATGCATATTTTGTTAGATTTATACCTAGGTATTTCATTTTCTTTGGCACAATTGTCAGTGGTATTTCTCTTTTTGTTTTCATGTGCAATTGATTTTTGTGTTGTCTGTATATTTCAACCTTACTGGACTGTTATTTGTTCTAGGTTTTTGGTAGATTGTTTGAGATTTTCTATGTAGATAATCATGTAGTCTGCAAAAAAGAGGTTAATTTTTTTCCCTTCACATTTGTATGCCTTTTTTCTTCCTTCATGGCAGTGGGTAAGACTTCCAGTATTATGTTGGATAAGAGTGGTAGATAGTAGACATTCTTGCTTTATTCTCAATCTCAGAAGAAAACCATTCATTTTTTTACTATTAATTAACTGTGATATTAACTATAGGTATTTTGTAGATTCTATTTGAAGATTGGGGAAGTTATACTCTACTTATTTTTCTGAAAGTTTTTATCATGAATTGTTGTTGAATTTTTCAAATGCTTTTTCTATGCCAACTGATATGACGGTTTTCTATGTCAACTGTTGATAATGGTAGATTATTTTGTTCGATTTTTAATTATTGAACCAGCCTTGCATACCTGGATTAATCCCATAAATTACAAAATGAATTGGGAAGTGTTCCCTCCCTTTTTAATTTCTGTAAGAGATTATGTAGAGTTGACATTAATTCTTCTTTAAACATTCTGTAGATTTCTCCAGTGAAACCATCTGGACCTGGATATTTTGTGGGGGAAGCTTTTAAATTACAATTTTATTTATTTATTTATTTATTTATATAAATTACAAATTATTTAATGATCATAGGATTATTCCAGTTATATCTATCTTGCTGTAGCTGAGTTTTGGTAATGTCTGGTTTTTCAAGGATTTGGTTCATTTTTTCTAGGTGATCAGGCCAAAAGATGCCCCTAGTATTTCCTGCTATTCTTTGAATGGCTGTGGGATCTATTGTAATACCCTATTTCATTCTTGATAATGAAATCTTGATAATGATGATTTCTGTCTTTTCTCTTTTTATCTCTGTTAGTCTTGCTAGAGCTTTATGAATTTTTTTTCAAGGAACCTGTCCATTTGTTTCAGTAACTTTATTGTTTTTGCTTTTAATGTCATTGATTTCTGCTGTTATTCTTACTATTTCTTCTTTCTGCTTACTTTGAATTTATTTTGCTCTTTTTCTAGATTCTTGAGGCAGAAATCTAGATCATTTTTGAGACTTTTTTTTCCTTATGTAAACATTTAGTCTTTTACATTTCCCTCTCAGCACTGCTACCTATTTGGCGATTTTTCTGTTATCAATTTCCAGTTTGATTCCCTGATGATCAGAGAATATACTATGTATGATTTCAAGGGTTCAATTGCTACATGTAACTGATTGCTAGATGGAGATATAGAGAATTAAGATTTTAAAGGCTTTGCCAGGTTGAAGCATATCTCCCCAAAATTAATAGGGGTAACTTGAATAAAGATAAATGGAAAGTCCCAAGATTAACTATATTACTATAGGATGGGACCTAATATGCCTGAAGAATCACTAAGAGTTTTTAAGTTTATTATTAACTCAGTTTAGGTTAACAGTGTTACATGAATAGTCATGGAAAGCTAGCACTGTTAGACTGCATAAATAGAAATATAATGTTCAGAATAAATAAGATAACAGTATTATTGTACATAATACTTACTTGTAGAGATTTTTGCTTATGGAAAGAATTTAGCCATAGCATAGACTACAAATCCTGAAAGCCTCTCCTGCCTTTTAGATTATATGATTGTCTTTTCAGTAATTTTCACCTAGATTTTATAATCTAAAATAACCTGTAATAATTGTTTTCCTTCCACCAACTAGATAATTTTGAAATTATGTCACTTAGCTACACCATCTTATAAACAGCCTATGATTTTTATTTTTTTTTTTTTACAATGTCTTTCTCTCCCCAGCTTTGAGGATTTGTGCATCAAATGTTTTTCCCTGCCTTCTACCTCTCATTGCACTTGGTCAGATTAATTACATTTTACCCAGTCTCTTGCTTATGTAAGCTTCTCTTAACTCATTCTTTCTGTTCTTTTATTGCTTAGGAAACTCTTTTATTTTCTTTCTTTTGGTTTCATATGAGTCCAAAAGTAACCATTTACTGGTTACTAAGGGACTAAGAATAGGAATAATGTGGACAGGATGTGGAGAAATAGGAACACTATTACAATGTTGGTGGGAGTGTAAACTAGTTCAACCATTGTGGAAGACAGTGTGGCGCTTCCTCAAGGTCCTAGAAATAGAAATTCCATTTGACCCAGTAATCCCAT